CTGTCCCACTCCTGCCATGCCATCCTGCTCCCTCCCTGTCCTGCCATGCCACACTCCCTGTCCTGCCATGCCATCCTGCTCCCTCCCTGTCCCCTGTGTGTCCTGCCATGCCATGCCACCCTCCCTGTCCCACTCCTGCCATGCCATGTTCCCATGCCCATCCCACTCCTTCCCTGTCCCATTCCCGACCATGCCACGCTCCCCATCCCACTCCTTCCTCATCCCACTCCTTCCTCATCCCATTCCCTCCCATCCCACTCCCTCCCATCCCACTCCTTCCTCATCCCACTCCCTCCCATCCCACTCCCACCCCATTATTCACCTGCCACTGGCTGGGAGCACAGGGACAGTTTAGGGACAGTTTAGGGACAGTTTAGGGACAGCCCGGGGACAGCCTGGGGACAGCTTGGGGACATCCCCCCCTCTGCCACTGCCCGGGGCCATGAGGGCCGGGCTGCCGGGGTCAGCGCTGCCCCCAAACTCTCCCCGGGGGGGCATTTTTGGCCGGAGAGCAGAACCGGGGCGAGCACCGAGGGGGTGAAGGGGGTGACCCGGGCCGGCCCATGCGGGGGTGCTGCAGCCCCGCCCGTGTGTCCCCTCCCCGCAGCCTTCCTGGTGGCCCTGGGAGCCCCGACAGTGCGCTGAAGCTGAAGCTGCAGCCCTCGCCGTGCCAGAGCCTGCAGCGGGCACTGCTCTGGGGCGAGAAGGCGGGCACCAGCCTGGGGCTCAGCATCGCCGGCTGCCCGGGCTACGAGAGCGGCCCCGGGCTACGAGAGAGCGGCCCCGGGCTACGAGAGAGCGGCCCCGGGCTACGAGAGCCGGCGCCGCTCGAGCGGATCCGCCGCGGCCCCGACGGGCGCTTCGTGCTGGAGAGCGACCCCCCCCCGCAGCCCGCGGAGCCCCCGGAGCCCGAGGAGGAGGAGGAGGAGGAGGAAGAGGAGGAGGAGGAGGAGGAAGAGCCCGTGTGGCGCAGGGGGGTCTCGCTGCGCCCCCACCCCTCGGGGCAGCCCCGGCGCGCCGGCGACCACCGGCACGGGCGTTATTTCGGCTACGGGGGGAGCAGCAGCAGCCCCGTGGCCGAGGAGGGGGCCGGGGCCTTGTGCATCATCGACGTGAGCCCCGTGGCCTCCGCCGCGACCACCAGCACCACCAGCAGCACCACCCTGCCTTACAGCCCCGCCCGGGAGCCCCCCGAGCCCCCCCCGGGCCGGGACTGTCGCCCCGCGGCCCCCCCGGCCATGAGCGGGATCCTGCAGTACCTCAGCCTGCCCTTCTTCAAGGAGATGTGCGTGGACGGCGACTGGCCCCCCCAAGAGGAGGAGGAGGAGGAGGAGGAGGAGCCCGGGGACCCCCCCCGTGCTGGCGGGCACCCCCCCGCCGGCCCCCCGCCCGCGCCGTGCCCGGACTGCATCGACACTTGTGCCAACGCCACCTCCCCCCCCGCCACCCCCGGCACCGCCGCCCTCCTCCTCCAGCCCCCCCGGCTGCCCCTGGGACCCTCCAAGGCCTCGCTGCCCGGCTCGCCCGCCTGGCCCCGCTGTGCCCCCCCCCCCCCGCCCCCCCCCCCCCCGGAGTCTGAGCCCCCGGCGCGCCCCCCGGCCCCCGGGGCCCCCCCCCCCGAGCAGCTCCCTCGGGGCAGCCTGACCAGCCAGAGCAGCGGCCGCGGCAGCGGCTCCTTCCTGCGGCCCCCCTCGCTGGCCCCGGCCCCGGGGGGCACCTTCCTGGGCATCGGCAAGAGGTGAGACACGGGCGGGACCGCCGGGAGGGGCCGGGGCGGGCCCGGGGCGGGGCTGGCACGGGGGTGCCCTGGCACGGGGCTGTCCCGCTGCCTCCCGGCCCTGCGGCACCCCGGGGACACCCCCCTGGGGGTCCCTGCTGTGTCCCTCGGGGGGACTCGGGGTCTGTCCCGGCACCGTTCGGTGGGATCTGATGCCTTGGGGAACGTGCCCAGCCCGGGGGTCTCACTCTGGGGTCTCTCCTTCTGCCCAGCCCCGGGGTCTGATGCCCGTCCCTGGGGTCTCACTCCTTGGGGTCTCTCCTGATGCCCATTCCTGGGGTCTTATTCCTGGTGCCTCACCCCCATCGTCAGGGTCTCACCCCCATCCTGGTGCCTTACTCCCATCCCAGGGTCTCACTCCCATCCCCAGAGTCTCACCCCACCCCGGGGGTCTCACCTCCATCCCCAGGGTCTCACCCCAGCCCAGGGGTCTCACCCCCAGCCCAGGGTCTCACTCCTTGGGGTCTCTCCTGATGCCCATTCCCAGAGTGTCATCCCCACCCAGGGGGTGTCACCCCCACCCCAGTGTCTCACCCTCATCCCCGGGGTCTCACCCCCACCCCGGGGGTCTCACCCCTCGTGGCCTCGCTCCCCCTTTCCCCCCCCTTTCCCTCCCCCTCAGGAGAA